AGCATCTCCTTTGCCCTGTGCATGACGAGCAAGGGCACGTCTTGCTGGCTGCAAACTCCAATGCCTTGGTGCAAAATAAATGATGTGGAGGCAAGGGAGCCCCCAGACCGGCCAGCAAAGGCAGCATGTGGATAACAGGGGAAGCGGTTTGCTGAAGGACCTGTCTGCCTGAAACTTTAACAGGACTGAGGTCTATTTTATAATTCTTATTGACACAGTAAGATGAAGTGCATTTTATGAAGGGGAAAAATGAACAGAGAAAGAAATGTGCCTTTGAAAAGCCACTGAACAAGGACTGAGGTCTAGCTCAAAGTTAGGGCTGGGTGCCAGTATTCCCACTCCTGCATGAGAAGCAGTATTGCACAATCCTGCTAATCCAACTGGTTCAAAGATATAATTAAGGCTTAATTAGCCGGTGCAGGTAATATGCTTAATTAGCATCAGTCTGCTATTAAGCAGGGCTGAGAGCATTAGCTACACTGAGATGGTGTGCAGCCTTCCAGCGGGTCTCCATGACAAACCAGTCTCGTGGTGGTGTTGGGAAACCCTCCTCGCTACCACCACTAATGCAGTTCATGCAGCTGGTGCGGAAATGTACCGAGAAACCACCTAAAACTGCTGACACAGAGCCAAAGCTTTCGCTTTCCCTTTCTATCACACACCTTGGGTAAAATATAGCTTGAAACCACATGGTAACTTCCACTGCCACCCTAATGTGTAGCAAGGGCAATTCGGTGAGAAGGAAGCGAGCTCAAGGGTTTTAATGTAAACAAGCCAATTTCACTAATGTTAGTGGAGGCTTTAATAACTAAACACTATCTGTGAAAGGATTTCTGAAACGCTGCTCCTTCCAATGGGAGAAAGAGGCTAGGGCCAAATACAGGAATAACTAAAACTATGAAGATAAATAAGATTTGTRTGTTTGGATGATATGGAATAAAAGCATTTATTTTGTGTGACTACACCTCCTTGTGTGCCGGCTTCTTAAAGCCAAAGGAAATTATTTAAAGAAGAGTAATTAGACCACTATCTGACAGGAAGTGTTTGAGCATCCTGTCTTGAGGTTTGGGACATGGATTTCAGTAGGAGTCATGGGCTCAGGCCCTTACCTGACCTCTTCTTCTTCACTGACTAACTTCCTGTGTCATCTTTTTTGGGGGGAGGGAAGGTGGCAAAATGGAACATTTTCTATTTTTAAACCAATTGCTTTGACTYTAAGGATTTGGTTCTGTTCTTTGGCCTTTTCTTGTCAGACTCTATCATAACCATGAAAAACCCAGGTAACTGAGATGGATGCAGACAGATCCTAGAAGTAACCAACTGTGCATATGCGTCAATGTAGGGCTCAAAATGCCAAAGCTTAGTTAGTCTCAAAGCTGTTTCTTCTTCAAAGACTGTTTCTTCTATGCAATGAATAAGAAAAAGTCTTATCTCAGTTACAAAATATTAAGGCAAGTAGAAAAACTCAATCTTGATATATAAATGAAGAAGATAGATAACTTAGTTAATAGTATTATTTCAGGTCTCAGGAAACTGAATAACAATATTAGGGAAAAAAGATGAAGGAGCTAATTTGAAATAGTGACCCTACCCTAAAACAYTGCCTTTCTTTGACTGCTCTCTGTAGGGCATCTCTCTAAGCCTGGCTATTAAATCACTGCAGTGCTAAACTGAGGAGAATGGTATTGCTGGCTGGTGGAAAGCCATTTTAYATAATACAATTTCCCATGTTTCAGTCAACTTGAAGTGGTGCTCAATTGAATACTAGATTATATATCATATACACATATATTCTGTCAGTTTGAATTAAAAAAACTAGCAAAATACTTAAGCATAACAATCTATTAATTGAAGCAGTGAAATACTGCAGCAGAAGCTAAGTAAAATCATGTTTATTAGTCTTATTGGCAACTTCACCTGCCATAGCCATGCTGAGTAAGAGGCAGCATCAGAYCTGGAGGATGGGATTTTGTCCTCCTCATTTGCACAGTGCAATATACTGGAGCAAATAATATCCTCATTCATTTTTATTTCTAATGTGTTACTGTTAGAATGAAGTTATCTATTTTTAGTCACTTGAAAATACATGAAGAAATAGTCATCTGGTCAGCTACCTTAATTATAGCTGCAGAATTTGACTTGAACCATCCTGCTGTTTTCTGTTGTGTTAGCATAAGAAGCAGTGTGACAGCCATACACAAATACTTAGCTGTCAGAATAAATTTAAAGCAGGAAGGAGATTTCAGATGAAACATGGCTATTAAGCTTTTAGGATAAAATTAGCCCTTGAGTCTAATGGGTTTCAGCCTGGTGACTCTTCATAATACAGGTTACTTGGTTACCTTTAGTTATTTACTTGCATCAGTAACCAAAGCAAACCATTATGGCTGAGGCTGTTCAGAATGCTTGTGTAAAATGAGGATATTTTTTGATCCCTTTTTTTTTTTTTTAATCACTGAAGTAGAGCTGTGTGCCTAACTCAATGAGCTCTTCCAGACAAGAAAAAAATGCCAAGGGAAAAACACCCTGAAAAACAATTTATAGCATTGAGAAAAAAAGACTTTCTCCTCAGATAGCTCTTCCCTTGGCTATTCTTTACTTCCAAGCATGGGTGAACTGGAGTGAGGAAATCAACCAGCTTTAAAATCAGAAAAAAAAAGAAAAGAATATTTGGTAACAGCAAACACACTGGCTTCCTTCCCAGCTGACCAAACGCTGATACCGCTGCAGCGCAGCAGTGCTGCCCAGTGGGTAATGGCACMGCTGGACACATAACCCAGCCTTCGCTGCAACTTCTCTATCCTTTGTCCAGCTTCACCGGTGTGAAAGCCTGGATATTGCATTTTTTCCCTGAGAAGGAACCTGAGGGTGGTCTGAGAAGTCTTGCAGGTTTCTTGTGTTTTCCCTTCCTGTTCACTCAGGTTAGTACCTGATTTTACTCTAGTCCTCTAAACATCTTGTCAGAAACTGAAATCAGCTACAAAAACCTTCAGCTGCTGATGTCTGCAGGGGATATAATCTAGATTTCATCTAAGGTTTCCTGGTGACACAAAGTTGCATGATTTTGGGGATGATGGTTTTTTGGCAAAGTTTCTTGGCAGATCCTAACCTGCGTATGTTAGAAAGAAGAAAGCTAATTGCTTTTTTWACCTGTCAAAGGTGTCTGGGGTGGGTAGGACGATTTCTTTTATACACATGCACCATATCTTTAAATCTATTCAGTTCCTTTTGCATTTTGAATATTTGGAATAGAGAGAGGGTATCGTCCTTCATGATTGACTCTTTCCAGAAAAAAAAAAAAAAAATCCTATCTAATGGAAAATGCAGTGCTGGTCTCCTAATTGTCCTTCTGTACAGAGCAGTTTGCACACAGGTGTTCTTGGCTCTATCCAAACAGTAACCTTTAACTCAAGCAGCACCTTCACTGTTTACACTGAAGAACAAAGAGATGCAGACAGGCGTTAATTGCATTATACAAATGAGTAAGCACAGAACATGCTGCTGCAGGTAGGTCAAGGGGCTGATTCTCCAGCTGTCTGAAGGGTTCCACGCAGCTGAGCCTCCAGTCCCACCTACGCTGAGAACTTCACCACCACTCTCTCAGGCTATCTGAGCCAAGCAGATCTGATCTCAAAAATATTCATATCATCTKTCTTCAGACAGAAACTTTTAAAAGCAAGCAGCTCTTTCTTTGCTAAAAATGTATCTTTAATTCCTGGAATTTCTGAATGTTAAGTACAGCGAAGATCTACCTTGCTGTAGCATGTGCAAAGGTATGGTTGTGTCTAAGAGCATTTCTGTAGGAAAGCCAAAGGCTGGGGAAGACAGGCTGGGTTCTGTGGAGTGGTGTTTTTCCCCAGTGTTTCATTCAGATCTCTTACCTTAATTACCTGTTCATGCACTGCGTGAGGCTCTGAAGAATCTCTAAACATCTTTCAGGTGTTTTTGAAAGCAGAGTTTGGCAAGAACAGGGTCTATTTCAGATTAAATTGTTTGGCTCCTTTCATGCTTGTACGATCAAAACATAAGCAGCTTGTTATGTTAATACCCAAATATTGGCATATGTCTTATGAGACAATTAATGAGAAGCTGCCTCTTGAGAAATACAAGTCACCTTTACAGCAACATTTCCAATAAACTGTTTCAGAAGTTCATTGCAAATAAAAAGGAGGTTGCTTTGCCATTTGCTAGTGCCTCTGACGAGTCCTGRTATCTTCTAAGGAGGACGACAGGGTGATAGTTGCCCAGTATCCATCCCAGGCAAACYGGAATTGCCAGGGAAAGAAACAGCATCGCCCCCCACACTGTCCTGTTCCCTTGTCATCTTGCTTCTGTGCTGCTCGTGTATCTGTGCCACATTGCAGCAGCTAATTCAGGCAGGAAACTAAGCTGAATGAGAACCAGTACAGATTTCCTCCTTACCCTTCCACCAAAAGAAACTACTAAAAAACTAAAGAAAAATCACTGGGCCAGCTAYACTTGAGGAAGCACAGATGCTTTAATGGAAGAAAGGCAGGACTTACTATCCTAGCTGCAGCTTCACACCTGTACGTGTTAAGCTAAGCTAAAACATTTTAGGTCTTCATCAAGATTTTTTGGTAGTACTTCCAGAAGGACTTTAATTGTAGGAAGAGACAGTAACATTTAGAAAAAAAAAACTTTATTTTGCAAATGCAGTGTTAAAAAGAATGTGGAATGCAAGTAAAGCTTGACAAAAAGCAGAGACCAGCAGTTCTGTCARTAACATTTGGACACTGCTGCAATTTTTCTCTTAAGTTTTAGAGAAACTTAAAGAGTCACCTTGTACTGGAAAGCAAGACTCTTGAAACAGTGATAAATGTAAAATTAAAATTCTGACTCTCATCAGGCACTGAACTGAATTTTCCCTGAGAAGACACACATTATAAACTATTTTATAAATTTTGTATCACATAATCAGGGAGAATTTAAGTGTACAAGATTTTGCTACACACAMACAAAAAAAAAATTAGAAACATATCTTTAACACTTCAAGCTGAAGTTTCCAAGAGAATTAAAAATCACGTATTGAAGAACTGCAGTCATCAAATTCACTTTGGCTTCAGTATATCCCCTTTTGTTTAGCTTTCAAAAAAGTTCCATTGTGAATTTCCTGAGATCTTTCAGCATCTCAACATGAACTTTGTGCAGTCCAGCTGCTTCTTTTCCCGTTTTCTCTCCATCTTTACCTTCCAGATAGTGTTACAGTCATGAAAAGCAACCATGAATAATATGCTTATTCCAGGTCTTCGAACAATTGATTGAGCTGAAAGAAGCCCATTAATCATGCTTTTTAGATAACAATAAATATTCTGACTATTTTGGGCTTCCAATAATTGCTCTCCTTGACCTATTCCCATATTTTCTACCAAAGTCCTAAGCTTCAACATGCAATGTAAGGCATCCTTGTCTTCACTTGGGACAGGTTGTCTCTCCTCCTTGCCTATGGACCACTCCGTAAGGCCTCATCACCATCCCACCAATATATGAGAAAGTACGTCAGCACCACCGCCACCATCACCACCACCACCATACATGTTAAAGTATATAGTGTATCTTATTTGTACCTATGTTTTATAAAACGTAACGTGAGTATTTCAGTTCTTTTGCTGATACAAAGCTTTGTGTCGCAAATATTCTTCCAAGCATTTCACAGCAAAAGGGTCAACATCAGTATCGAACTTATTAGCAAAGAAGTGGTGGTTTCGCAGCATCCAGTTCAAGTCTCCTGCTCCAAAAATGCATACGGAGCGAACGTGAATCCCACTGCATGGCGGGTAGGGTGCACCTTTGGACACGTCACCTTCGAAGTACTGCCACTTCACAAACCTGGCCAGCGCGTTCATGTCAGAAACATCAAACTTGTTACTGGAAGAAACTGCCCCCGGGACCTCGGGGATTCTCTGGATTGTTGCCCACAGATACTCATCAGGGCTGTAAGTGTCTTTTGCCCACTCGATAAATGAAAGGATTTTGCGGTTTTCTAGTACGTGTTCTACAAAACTTCTGCTAACGACAAAATAGGCACTACCAGAAAATATTGGAGTACTGAGAGGTGGTCGTTGTTTGTCTATGCCCGTGTTCTTTACTTTACCATCRATAATCTCATGGTGCTTCTTCCACCTTACTTCTTTGGAGAGAGGCATTTTTTCCGTTTCCAAGCTATTTTCACCCTTAAGGGCTTTCAACCTCTCTACTATTTCCTGGTTGGTCTTAATAGGAAAGTCCATGCCACAGAGGTTTATTAAGTATTTCCACTTTGTGCTTCTTCTGTAGAGATCTTTCATGCAGTTAATGTCTGCCTGCACCCTGCTCCATGAGGCATATACAACACTTTCTAACTGGCTGGAAATAAAAACATTATCAAAACATGAAACTATTCCCTTCACAGCAGCAAAAAAGGATTCTGGGGACTTTTTGTCAACGTGAATGCAGTAAAAATTCTGAGGAGCATAGATGGATCTTAGGAGTCTATCAAGCATCTCGATTTTGTGATAAACCACTATTGAGTAAGCAAGTGGAAATTCTGCTTCTTCATTGCTGAGGGGTTCCATAATATACTTCCTAGTCTTGGTAAAGGAGGCACAGTCTGCTGTCATGTTAATATAGTCATTTGTCGTCAGCTTGGGGCGTTTCTTAAATGACACCGATAAGGTCTCAAGCTTTACCTTTTGAATTTCTTCTATATCACCCTCCAATATCTTCGTGCAGCTAATAGTGCTGATAGGGTCTTCATTAGTCAGCTCCAGCTCTCTCCGGTTTAGGAAGTCTGGTTTCTGGTTAACTTTCAAAACTGAGATGATTACTAGAATAAGAGATAGCCCCAAGAAAAGCCTGAAGAGTGAGTTGTGGCAAAACCGTAGTTTCCTTTTCAGCATTTCAAATATCCCGTACCTTCACTGAGCTAAAAAATTGCCCTCCACTCTGCTCATACCAGCTTCAGCAACTTCAGAAAAATCAGTTTGTGTTTCTCATGAGGCTGTTGCATTTGTCAAGGGAGATGGAAAGACAAATCCTACAAGAAAATTAAATATGAATGACAGGCTTCTACTAAAAGGTTTCTGTAAGAATTAACTGAGTAAAAGTCTGTTATTAATTATTGATTGTAAAACGATGAATAGCACAGATAAAAGGATTATCTTGAAATATAGAGATTAATTGATAAGATGATTTTATTTCTCTAAAACGGAAAGACAACAGAAGTAACAGCAGCTTTCATGAGACAGTTTCCTGGCTCCCACCAGCTGCAGTAGTAGGGCTACAGACCACAGAGCAGCCTGAGAGCTTGTTCAGCTAAATCTAACAAAATTAAAGCCAATAAATTGGATACATTACTGAGAAGCAAGTATGTGATAATAATTCACACTTTAGAGTTTGACAAGAAGGCTTTATAGCCACATTAACATTTAGTGACCCAATTAGATATTTAGTGACACAGTTTTCACTAAATATTCCATTTACCACTTACATCCTGGAAGTTATTCTCTCCATCTTCTCACCTGGAAAGCAGTTCCTGAAGAGTTTCTAGATTTTGTGAATAAGACACGGCCTCTTTAACATGCTGCAGGTGATTCTAGAAATACAATCAGGAAAGAGCTGAAGAGAAAGAAAGAAGTTAGTGCACAACAGTTGTGACTGACCAGCTGAGGATCTCTTTCAAGGTAAAAGSACAAAGGTAGTATTTATAACCCACTTTTAAATCTGATCTGTACAAGTCTCTKCAAACACACAAACGTAGGAGCAGGGCAGTGCTGGGTTATCCCACTTTGGACACACTTACTCTCTGTGATTCCACAATCTGTTTTCCATGAAACTTTCTGCAAGGCTGAGTCACATTTACAATCTGCCAATGTCATTTTCAGCCTTGCTTCACAGACACCACGCTAGTTTTGTTCATTAGTCCTGTCTGCWCTATGAGCACTCTGTGAGGGATTGCTGCTGCTGCTCCAGCAGCAGTCGCTGAGAAACCTGCAGTCCAAAGAGGCTTGGAGAACTGGATTTTTGTTTTGTACATATCTTCTCACTCAGATAAATTCATCCCCAATAGAACATCCTTAAGAAAATTGCATTGCTGTTCAAGTGTCTTTTGCACTTAAAGATTTTTCATCTGAGTAACTCAGTGCAGGTTTGAATTTCACAGCAAGAGTAGTTGCAAAAGCCAATACAGTTAATAAAGAGACTTCTGACACTTTAAGCTGTAAGTTAAAAAGTTAATGAAACACTGAAATAATGGAGAGACATATAGCTCCCTTCATTAACACTATTTTTGCAATCATTTTTACTGATATTGAACAACTTCTTACGAAAAAAAAAAAAAAGGTAGGAATATCTGTTTTATGACAAAGTGTGCACTGTGCCCAGCTCTGGGTTTTGCAGTAGCCAGCTCCGCATAAAGATTTTCTTTCATACTCTTTTCTTTAAAGCTAGTCCAGTATCATTTTAGCTTTTAATTCTCAAATGTGGCTTTTAGCTTGCAAGCTGCAGAACATGTGTTTACATATAAGAGATGTATATTTGATATTAGAGTGKTTTTTTTTTTTAAAGAAAGGAAGAGTGCCATTGGGGTGCCCTATCATGTCCCTATCATGTCCACAGCACATACACTGGTTTGGGGAATTGATCCAGCTGGCTTGAGGCATATGTATGGAGGGCTTGGATCCCATGGGTCCAAGGAATGAGATCCCTTGGATCCCTTGAGTCCACCACTGCAGGACTATCTTGCACAGCTGTGAGATATTTTACATTTGTATTTTCACTAAGTATTTCATAATTGAAGTCATTGCCATGCAAAAAGTCACAAACTATTTGTGGGTAAATCATTATATGAACTATCTCATTTACTATCAAGGGTACTTTGCTTCCACGATTGCATCTATCATTACTTAATCCTGCATTCGTCAAGACAAACATTTCTTCCAAGTTTGCTGTAGGTAAACTTGAAGAAGTCAAACTGAGAGAAYTAGAGTTTTGCCTCTTATAGTAGGTAGTCAGGTGAGCTTGTGTGCAGTTACATCCATATGCATGCCTTTTAAGTATCAACTCTCGTATTTCTGAATTTGAATTTCAGAAAAAAAGGGAAATTCCACAATTACCATTTTTAGCTTACGATGTGGCCTTAAACCCAATGATGTAAGAAAAATAGAAATATTTAAATTGAAATACATTATAACTTATTACATGCTTCTTTGACATCCTGCTCATTCCTCCCCATCCAGTCCAATAAAAATGATATCCATTACATATTAATTTAAAAGAGGAAGAACACTAGTTTTGCAATGGTTTCTATAATATGTATACAGCAGTATTTACATAGGCTGAAACTTTAATAGTGGTTACCCTTAAGATACTGATTTCTGCTACCAACTTAGAAGTTAAGACTTTCATAAAAATTTAAAAGCACTTCAAATACTTCAAAAGCACTTCAAAAAAAGTATTTGCAAAGATTTAGCTGACTGAAGCTAGAACCCTTCTTCTTTTAGGATCCCTGTCAGCACTGCTGTCCTACTGTACATTCAGCTCATATAGCAACAGTAGCATCCCGGAGTAATGCAGTTTAAAATTGCAGTTTAAAAAACTGCAGCTGCACCCCACCCTTTTCTCTACAACGCAGGATTCAGAGCCTTAACAAGAGAGCTAACATTATGATCCTTACCTGCTACGACTTTCAAAGGATAGCACTTGATGGGAAGTTTTTCCTGCTCCTGTGTTAGGACACAACTTTTCTTACTCTTCTCAGTTTTATATAATTAAAGGCTGCATACAGCACGAGTCTGTTTCTGGAAGCCTTTCTGCATGCACCTGGATGCAATTCCTCTATCGTTCTGAGCGGAGAATAATCACACCTTTCATTTCCATTGTACAAAAATGAAGTGTCTGCAAACATTACACATAGAGTGGCTCTTATCTTTAGGGGCTGCTTTTTCCATAGGAAAATTTGTCTCACTGACACACTGCTCCTTCTGAACAATCTTAACAATAAACTGCTATTTGTTTATACTTGTTAATTCCTTTGCAATAAGTACTGACCATATCTTTTGCCATGTTGACCTTTACAGATTAAGGAAAGATTTGGCACGTTTCATTTATTAATCTGCCTGTTTTCTGCTTTAGAAAGTTTGTGACAGAATATGCATTAACATACTTTCATGCTGCACTCAGCAAAGTCCTTAACATTTTTTCTCGAGCTGTAGGTTGCTTTGTTGTGCGCACTGAACCGCGCGGCGCCGGAGATGGAGCTCTGCACCGGAGGAGGGCAGGAAGGAGGTTTGCAAAGCCCCAGATAACAGACTGCAAGCCATAGCCTTGGTCTTGCTCTCAGAAAAGTTCAGTCTTACTAAGTTACCTGCTTGACCAGATTTATCCTTTTTACTGCCGCCTTCTCACATTTGAAACTGTATTTTTCATACAGCAGGCATCCAAAGGGGAAGACACTGGTACTGTGGGTGCCAGTACCTGGAGGAGTTAGGACAAATGTTTATCTAGACACATGTTTTCCTTTCCACAGAAAAAGAAATGTTCTTCACTGGCCTGTACAGGCTGTGAAGTATGCGTAAGCACTGCAGCGAGCACATGGTTGTTTTGACTTGACTTTTGCTAGAGGCTGCTGTTTGCTATGCAGATAGATAGAGCTGAGCTCGCGACAAGGAGGATTACCACATCTGCTTTAAGCCTCTAAATGCTGACACTTGTTCTGTGTCAGAGGGCAAATCATTTGGATTATTTGCATCTTAGTCTCTTTATATTACATAAGGCAGGAAGTAAGGGCTCATTACATAGTAGTTTGGGGGAGGTCCTGATAGAAGCTAGATTCAGATTTAAGTTTCATATTATCATGAAAGTGCTGGAATAAAATAGCTGATTTTGATATGGATGAACTTGAGTTATCCCCATAAACTATTTTTTTCATCTGACCCATCTTACTGATAGAAACAAGTCAGCAAGACACTGTATGGGCACTTATTTCGAAAGTTTTGATTAGGTGTAACTTTCATCAAGGGAAAGCTGCAGCCGAAAGGCAGGCGGGAGCAGCACCCTTTTAGCTCAGCTCAGTATGTGATTTCAGATAAGCATGACTTCATTCTTACCTAAAAGCAAACAGAAAACCACACAACAAATGTAACTTTCCAATAAAAAAAAAAAAAAAGAAAGTTTTAAAAGCCTTAAAAGCTTTCACAAGATTATACCATAACTCAGACGGAGACCAAAGTTCAGCTGATCWTTTCATGTTGACCGGCTAGACTGCAGCTGTATGTATAATGTTAGCGATTTCGGAAAAGAGCACGAGATGAGTGGCATGTTATACCCCTGCAGCAGGGTTTGTGCTACAAGCTAGGAGATTTAGGAGATTTTCTTCTGAGCCGAGAGCTTTTTCAGGACAGTTTGAATTAAACACAGCTAGCAGGCCCACATCGCTCCCGCAGGATGCTCTGAAGGAGGAGCGGGGTGGCGCGGTGCCGTCAGCCACGGGCTGACAGGGAGAGGGGCTCGTGCCCCTCGCTCCTGCCACCTGCATCCCACGTCGGAAAACCTCATCCGACCCAGGGGTTTTGGAGATGCAGCTTCCCATAGCTCTGCAGTCCTGCACATGGAGATTCCCTTCTGCAAGGTCTTGTTTGGCCTGATATGGTGGAAAACAGCTGGGGCATCTTTCTCTAAATCAGGGTAGAAACAGTGGCTATTCTGATCAGTGTTTTACATTAAGGCAGTAAAATTTTCCATGACTAAGGTTTTTGTTTCAGTTTACATCATTTCAGTTTCCTCCTTCTGACAAGGGCTATATGTAGTCCCTTTTGCAGAGCTAGGAACATGTAAAACACAGATTGAAGCCACGTAATCATTTTTATCGTGTGTGTCTCCCTAAAAGAGAGCATAAGCAAACCTATGCTTATTTATTCAGCTCTGCTGTCAATTGACAATATTTAATAGATTAAAATTATCATCAAAATTGGCAGGATAGGTTCTCTGGTTTTCATGCTCAGATCTCTTCCCTTGCAGTAAGTCATCTAAAATGCACCACACTCACGTGTCCCATTTAAAATAGGTTACAGTCAACCCTAAAGCTAACTTTTTTCATATTTAAGATAGTTGTATTTCTTAAGTATAATTTTTCTTTAGGAAAAACTATTAGAGCATGCTGTGAAAAGACATATACACCCATTTCACGATAAGACAAAAATCACCACGGGCTGCAGACTGGAGGAGCAGAGCCAGTTATCTTCTCTTTTTGTCACTTCAGCTGTTTCTCTCATGAATAGAATTAAGTGTTGTGGCAAATCAGGCTCAGCTAATTGCAATGCAGTGTGTCAGACACCAAGCTGGTACCCAAAAGGAAGGAAACACTCTAGCCATCAAAACACATCACGAGTGCCTGAGCTATGGAGGGGACTATCTGGAGGAGAAAGAAGCACTTTGAGGTACCTCAGTGTCCTGGCAGCCTTCTATATGCACAACAGCAAGCAGACAGGCAGGGCCTAGGGCTGTGTGGAGCCACGGTGCTTGTCAGGAGCCCTCATGACCGCAGGCAACGTCTGGTGGGGCTGGTGGGTCCAGCCGTGGCTTCAGTGTCACCACTCATGGCCTTACGGGCCGCGTGAGTGCAGAGCATCAGGCCCTGACAGGTCTTCCCTTCCTCTTTTCCATTGGCTCCGAGGTCATGAG